TGACAGAACTTGTATCCTGAAAAAATAACAGTAGGCAAAATTCAGACCAAACTCAGGTCAATCAACAACATGCATGTCAAATTAATATCATATGAGTAATTGTAATAGTATATAAATTAAAGTTCAAAGTTGAACCTTTGCATACTCTATCTGATATACTCTATAGTCAGTGAGATATGATAAAAAGCAAAACCATAGATTGAAAAATGAATGTTGCAATCAAAATGGACACTCTCCATATGAATTTTGGACCACTTTATCACTTACAATTATATCATAAACAGCAGAACTTTTTTGGTAGATGAAATTTGATTTCTCAATTATTAACATTCAAAACAAAAAGAAACACAAGATTGTAAAAACAGAACAAAAGTTCATATAGTAGTTAACATAGGACCATGTCCATAACAACATAAAGTTAAGATATGTACCACACAGGATCATGATCATATCATACTACATTATTGCATTTCATTACTGGTAAAAAAAACTAAGTCAGAAGAAAGCTCTGCTACCATAAAACAGAAACGCTAAATCAAATATTAAAAACACCTTGAGTATTGATGGCTGAATCTTATTGGGTCCTCTAGATGAGAATGAAGCCATTACTGGAGCTGGCTTTTTTCCATAAAATGTTTTTGCTCCTGAAAACCTTATTGTAGTACCTGTTTTTAGTTTAAAATCGCAGCGAAAGTCTCAGAAATTCCTGCGAGATTTACTGCTATCACATTTTTCGCAGGAAATGATGTTTCACAATATAGAAGCGCATGGGAAATCGCAGGTGTTTCTGCGAAAACTTTTCCGCAGGAAAATCCACAGGTAAACTGTGTGTATGACCCCTCTTTCTTTCTCCTTATCTATCAAAACCTTGTAGTTACTCGATTGATCCCACTAAGTATTTGTAGTCTGATTGATCTATTTTATTGACATTTTCATGGGTTTTGTCATCTAATTCTTACTCTTGTAGTTTTTGGTTTTTTCATAAAAGGAAAAGGAAGAACATGAAGAATTGTTTATTTATCTGATCTGATTTTAACCGTAACACCATGAAGCTGCGAAAGTCGTCTTTGAATCCATTTGCAGTATGTTCTTGTCTCTAACAGGATTGCTACTTCTAGATTTTATGCAACGGAACAGGAGAATAAACTAATAGAAATGTTGTATTTAGCCTCGGCCATTTTTCGACACTATAAGGCAAAAAAACCGCCGCTACTAGCCAATTAGCCTCGGCGTAGCGTCGGTGTCGGGGATAGGCTAAAATGATTGAAGCTAACATTTAGCCTCAGCCAAAAAGAGCCGTGTCTACAGTAGCCTCGGTCTAGCCGTGTATAATTTAGCCTCGGTTTAGCTGTGTCTACTTTATCCTCGGTGAAGCCGTGTCAAAAAACAAAAAATAGCCTGGGCCTGACCGAGGCTAAAGTCAAACTCCATAAGCTCACATAATATTTAGCCTTGGTCCTGGTCGAGTCTAAAGGAACATTTTTCCTCGACTTTTTCGAGGCTAAGTTCAAATTTTATAAGTCAACAAAATATTTAACTTTGACCTAACCGAGGCTAAAGTCAAATTGTACCAACATTTAGCAATCAATTGAAAAACATTTTTGCTAGTAATGATATGTATGCAAATGCAATTGAAAAACAAAAGTTAACTCACCAACTACAATAGGTGAAATAATTGCCAAAGCACCAGATTTTATCATCTCTCTTAATGATGCAGATGCTACAATTGCAACACAGCGAGCATAATCTGGTTTCTCCTTGTAATCCTGTAGAAAGCATTAAGCAATTAAAAGAAAGGGGAAAAAAGAGAGAGGAAAAAGGAGAGATTCAAAACATAAACTAACATACTGAACATTACTTTACAAACTTAAACTCACCATTATACCAGGCCTTTCGATAAATTGCCTTCTTACTTCATTAACAACCTCTTGCGCAGTTCGACCAACAGCAGCGCAGGCCCAAGCACTAAAGACATGTATAAGCATGGCACCCATCAACCCACCCACAAAAACTTCTGGAGTTGCAATATCAACCTGCAATAACGTTTCAGATCCATATCACACTTTTCTCTCCTTTTCTCTCAACTGCATAACTATAATAGTTGAATTAGATGGGAACCAGTTCTGCAGACATGTTTAAAAGGTTCAAGAGAAAATGAAGAAACCTCGTCCATATAAGCACTAAATAGAAGGAAAGAAGCAAGCGCAGCAGAGCCAATGGCAAATCCTTTGGTGGTGGCTTTGGTTGTGTTACCCACGGCATCAAGTACATCAGTGATCTCTCGGACACTTTCAGGCTGATAATAGGTAATGTCAGTTTACATACCATGAGAAATCTAAAATATAAAAAGTAAGGAAAATATTTGTTTGGCCAGAAATACTTGTTGGCTCATTTCTACAATTCCTCCAGCATTATCAGCTATTAGGCCAAACATATCCATGGTAAGAATATAGGCAGCAGTACTAAGCATTCCCATTGTTGTTACAGCTGTGCCAAACAACCCACCAGTTGGGTTTCCTGTTTCATCTATTAGTCCAGCAGTTTGGCCCAGCCAGTACGCTGAGACAATCGCCACACTGATGACAAGGACTGGAAGACCAGTAGATTCCAGCCCCAAACTGATCCCGACAATTATGTTAATCCCATGGCCAGTAGAGCTAGAAAGGGCTAATGTGCGCACAGGCTCATGCTTGTAGTCAGTATAATACATGGTGATCCAAACAAAAATGTACGCTGTAATAATCCCAATCAACCCGCACAAAGCAAAGTTGAACCATGCTGAAGGTGCTTGCTCAACATAAAGTAACCATCGGGTAGATTGTAAAGTAAGTAAATTTAAACAGTAAGAGCGAGAGAAGGTATATTGAATTTGAAAAGGTTGAAGATATTTTGTTGTGCAGTTCGAAACAAAAACTACATATCTCAACGACAAAAAAAATACAGCAAATAAAACACAGCATGCTTAGCCAATTCACACAACTTAGAAAAGCCAAATTATTATATCACAAGTGAAGATTAATTATTACCAAGCCAAATGCTAGAACAGCTCAAACTATTGTAACAGAATATCCTTTCTGAAGAATTGCCATAGGATCTTCCATAAGATATTGTTTTTTTTCTTCTTCTAAATTTATCAGTATATTCCAGTTTATATCACATACTTTCTTCTCTAGTTATCAAATAGTTTAACAGAACCAGAACAATGACTAAAAAAGTTTGAGAAATCCCATAAACTTCTACATAAGAACAAATGCAAATATTTAAGTCTTAGGAACTTAAAATTAGAGAACACCTTCCAGTAAATTCAATCAGAGCAAAATTCAACTTGTCTAACATCAACACCTTTAAATATGACCATGTAAGACATCAATGGAAGTTAAACATGAACAATAGTAATTAGACATACTGTTTCCGTTAATTATAACCTTATTATGACTTTAAAATTTTCCAAACTATCCTATAGCCCTGTGAAAAACAAGTAGTAGTCTACTGAAACCCCAGATGACATAAAGAACAATTAAACAATTACCAGATTAGCAATAACAACAGGATTTCTAGGGTCATCTTCAGGTATTCCCTGTTCTACTTTTCCAACAAGGTCTTCCCCAACATCAGCTGCTTTAGTGTATATTCCACCACCCAACTAAGCAAACAGTGCGACAAAGGAGGAACCAAATCCATATCCAACTAGAAGAAGCGGCACTGACAGAAAGCAAAAATCGTATAAAAATCAAATAGCAATAAGATGCAGGTAATGCTCTGATCCCTAACAGTAAAGACAAAATAATGGAGCAATCAAATAAGCTGCAAATCATTTCAGACCACATTAAATTATCCCCACTTCAGCTCACTATGCTTAAAATGCATGCATAACGTATTTAGGAGTGAAAAGGACATAATCTTTTGAGTTTTTCAGTACATTTAGGAACCATTCGGGACCACAGTCAGATCTATACACAAATAAAAATTCACCAGATCACATACACTTACCAAATGGAAAACTATAACAATGAAACATTATAAGCACTTATCTATGTTAAAAATACAACATCTAAACTTCAAACATTTTAAAAGTAACTTTTTCATTCATTATAATGAATAAGTTCGGGGAAGAAGTCTGCACATACAATCAGTAACATGAACCCGGTGTGTCCATTCCCATCCAAACATAAAATGTGGCATAAAGGACTGCTATACCAATTACAGCCATACCAGTAACAATGATAGATGATAAACCTCTTGCACGAGTAGCTACCTGCAGAATTTTCTTTCAGTTAATATAGGAATAACGAACTGTTCATCTTTTTTCTCAGGAGCTGATACTGAACTAATGACAGTTAACCTGCAATGCCTCTCTTGCAGAACGTCTCGCGGAACTAGAGACTCTGACATTGGCACGAACTGAGACCCACATCCCTACATATCCAGTAGAACCTGAACAAAGGGCACCTAAAAGGAAAGAAGCTACAGTGATGTATGCAGATGTTGTCCTGAAATAGAATGTATATGACAGATGAGAATATGTAAAATGTTCAAGAAAGGATTTATAGCCTATATAGTTGTGATGTCACCTTCCTATGCCAGAAGCTTCCTGTGGAGGAGTTATGCGGCGAAACAAATATATGCCAAGAATGACAAGAGCAAGCACCATAGCCATCTAGGATATAGTTCCATACTGGGTCCTAATAAATCCTTCAGCTCCATCTCGTTTGGCATCAGCTATCTAGAAAGTAATATGATAAGCACAGGACAAATAAACAAAGAGTTTGTGGTATGTAATCCAATTATCAAACAGTCATCATGAAAGACTATCTACAATAATTTTAGCACTCAAACAGTTATCATTCTTAACCACAAATTTTTTTATAATAAGCTGAATACCAAATGGCCTCACAGATCTTCTAACAGAAACTAGGATCTATGCACATTAACAAACATTGTTTTCAAAATCAATTACCAATTTGTCAAACCAACACAGTTCTAACATGAAGATCAAGAGTTCAAAATATTCCCAAGTTCAAACCAACACATTTATTTGCACACGCCAAGCTAGGGGTTGCCTCCATGCATCTGTTTCACTCATACAAAAGTTGAAACAATGAATATGACAGCATAAGTATGATTGCCAATGCTCAAAATAGAAGAGTAATCCACATTTAACAGGCACAAATAAATTATGGTCAAAACCCATGAATCAAAATCAAAAGCTAACAGATGTGCAACAGAAAGTATGACTCCAAAACAAGTATCTCCACAGCCATGTCAAATACCGACTCAAAGTTACTTTCAAATAGAGATACACCATGTTTCTTTTAACTTCCTTATTACTTTACAAACTACTTTTTATGCAAATTTAAGTTCAATCTACCAACAATTAAAAAGTATCACATCATCAATGAATCGTATATCAACAAACTAATAAGCTCCATTTTAATTTAAGACTTAGATTTCAGTTGGCATAAATAAGGAAATAAATTACATAATGACATGTGATAATAGAGTTATCATCGAGCATGACACATGAAGAAAGTTCAGACCATCAAAACAAAATCCTAAGTTTCTAACCGCAAAAACTTAAGAAAGTGACAAAAGCCAAGTAACTGTTACCTGTGACTCTCAATTCCATAAAATGAATGCTTGTAGCAACCACCTCGACCTCGAAGCTGTGACTTGGTCCATCTACAAATCTTGACACCACTATGTGAACCGATAATATTATATCCCTGTAAACTCATAATATTTTTACAGAATCATATTCATATCTTATCTAACCAAATTCAATTGAGAACACTTAATAAGCTTAAACCCTAAACCCTATATCATATATCATATCTTCTAAACTCATTATATTTTTATAGAGTCATAATTCATATCTTGTTTAACAAAATTCAACTGAGAACAATATGTAAGCCACCAATAAGGCATATATGAATTACAGAAAATACAATACCTGCTTCACCAAATTTTCTCTAATCACAGGAGTCACCATTTCTTTCTTGCCATTCAAATTCCCATTAGTCTCCTTCACTGTTGCGACCGACATCCTCGAAGGAGCTTTACCAGCAATGTCTTCAAGATCAACAATCGCCGACTCCGCCTCTTCCTCGTCAGATTCCTCTTCATCAGAACTCAAAACACCATATTCCACATCCCCGTTCTCCAAATCACCAACAACAACATCACCATCCCCTTTCAACAATCCAACCACCTTCCCACACCACTGATCAAAAACCCCATCCAAGTCACCAGCATCAACATCCCCTTCCCACAACGGAATCAACTCACCACCATCAATATTGTTGAAGATTGTAAAGAGGTATTCGCTGTCGTCTACTGCTAGACTAGGATAGATCCATCGTGATAACATGTTAAAAAAACCCAAAAGAGTGATGATGGAAGGTTGTGAAGGTTTTGGTAATCGTTGAGTTAGGAAAGTATGAACAAATTATTTTAGGGTTCATTCCGAAAGGAAATAAGAGGGAAACATGAAAAACAAGTGGGAAATAGTTAGCCTCGGCTCATCCATGTCTATCAGATAAAATAAATATTATTGGAAAAAATTAAAAAAGTTAGCTTCGGCTAGTCCGTGTCTAATATTTAAAAAAAATAATTCAAAAATTAAAAAATATCTAGTCTCAGCCTAGCCATGTTTAATGACTTAAATAAAAATAATTGTAAAAAGAAAAACTTTAAAATGACTTTTTTTGCGTTTAAATAGCCTCGGTTTGGTCAAGGCTAGTTAGCCTCGGTGTCGGTGGCCGAGGCTAAATTCGCAGCTAAAAATAGTTAGCATCGGCTCGTCCGTGTCTAATATTTAAAAAACATAATTCAAAAATTAAAAAATATCTAGCCTTGGCCTACCCGTGTCTAATGAATTAAATAAAAATAATTGTAAAAGAAAAACTTTAAAATGACTTTTTTTGCGTTTAAGTAGCCTCGGTTTTGTCGAGGTTAGTTAGCCACGATGTCGGTGGCCGAGGCTAAATTCGCAGCTAAAATGAAGTTTTCCAGTAGTGATAATAGTTCTCGGAACTATGATGGGACCGTGTGGTTTTAGGCTCCTCGGTATACCACAAATAATGTCCAACTTTTCAAGAAATTCCCCCAAAGGCTCTCTCTGGGGAAAAGCTATCCTGCTTCTATTTCTTACTTTTCATCACCAGAGTGTGGCACCATTGGCTGATAATAATTTTATGGATGAAGAATTTGATATAGATTTGGAATATCTTAGGATGACTTATCATGGGATATCTGATGAGTTGCTTGTAGACGTCTACATCATAAACGGTGGGAACCTGGATACTGTTGTTAACATGATCAGCCAACTTGAGGTATAATCTTAAAATTGTTAGCTTTGGGGATTTAACTATGTTGTTCATTCAATGGCTTTCTCGTTTAATTTCCTTGTTAATTCATGCATTATGGAATAGATTGGGTCCATTGGAAAATTAGATTTTGCAGAATTTCCTTGTCAATTCATGCCTCGTAGATAGATACCCAAAGACAAAATTAATAGACATTCACTACAAGAAAAAAGGATATTCACTACAAGTTGCCAGGGTTTGTAAAGGTTTTCTCTTTTTGGATTTTATATGATAAATTGATGTTGATGTTGAGTGTGTCGCTTTTAAGTGTGTAGAACTTAAGAAATTGTGAATTAAGTGTTATCTTGTGTCTAATGTTGGCATTGTAGCATTACAGGAGTCAGTAAGTTATTGTTTTGATAAATATAAACAACTAGCAGTATTATTTCGAGGTCTTTAATGCTTACTCTTACTCATAGATTTAATACTTTAATGTTGGATCAGATTTCAGTTCACCTCCTATTGAAGGACACAACAAGTTAAGGAAGAGTATTGAGGTGCTTATTAAATTTATTATTTATTCATTATATTTAATTTTTTTGCTTAACATTGGGTTCTGTCTCTTTTCTTACACACTACTACTGAAACAACTGTTAATGACTAAAACTACTAAGATCTTTTATAACATTTTTCAGCTTATATTGAACCATGGTAAATTTCTCATCCTTTACTGTTGTATAGATGTTGTGGAGATATGTATATTTATGATAACAAGTATTCCTTTTAATGTAATCTTGGACCTGTAAAGTTATCATTACTAGTACTATTTCATGTCTTGTTTAAGGTGATAATTTGGTGGCCTCGACAAACATTCAGTTAGCTAAAACAAATTATAACTAACCTGTAATCTCAAAACAGATTCTTTAACAGTTTTGGAAGCCCGACACTTAGCGTAATCTAGAAGCTTAAATTACCTTGTTAGTTTATAGCTCTAAATTTTAGCTCAAACAAATTATAAATAACCTGTAATCTCAAAACAAAATCTATAGCAGATTTGGCAGATCGACACGTAATCTAGAAGCTTAAATTACATTGTTAGTTTAATGCTTTATATAAAGATAATGATGCTCATTGGATATTGTAGCATGGATTCATTTCATTGAAAACATAATTGAACTAAATCTGAGTTCATAGAATCCTCTCGTAGATTCTATATTTCTACCGATGAAAAATCTAAATTCACTAGCGTAAGATGAGATAAAATTGAGAGGGAAATGTTTCATTCCTTTGAAAAAATATTAATGTGAAAAGTGATTAAGTTACAACAGATAGATAAGAGGAAATACGGTTTAGTTAACATATTTTTGTATCTACTCATATAGAATAATACGTATCTGGAATGCCAAATCAGGTCTTGAAGCCCATAGGATTCAAGCTAGACCAGGTGGTGACAGTGGACATGAACTTTGTATATGGTCACTACTGTATTTAAGGTGACAACAACCACATCTTTTTGTTCAACTGCTTAAGATGTGCATTCTTCTATAATTCATATTTACTCTTTTGCTTAGATTTTAGTATTGGAGTACCACTGCCTCTTTCCTACCTGTGTTGCTGATTTAGTTATTATTTAGGTCTGGGACACTTGTTAGTGGAGACAGCAGTGGGAGCGTCCAGTTTTGGGACTGCCAACAAGGAGCTCCGTCTCAAGAACCTATTACTCGTCACAAGGGAGATGTACATGCTTTGGCAGCAGCCCCTAATTATAATATGGTCTTCTCTGCCGGTTCTGATGGAAAGGTATGTAGTTCCAAAACCTGTCAATTCTTATAGAGAGTAATTTAGAGAAAGTTGAAAAGTGTATTTTGATGCTTTTTTCTGAGAATCAGAAATCAATCTTTTAGCTTAACTGATAGTTATTTTCAATGCAAAAAACAACAATTTCTTTTCTGTTGAGAAGCTCATTGAAACAGACTTTTTTATTTTACATTTTATCATTTATGTTCCATAAACCTGGTTTTCTATTTGGAAAATACTTTGCCTGATGAAAGGATCAAAAGAGCTCGCCTTGAAGTAAAGCCAGATGATTTTAGTTACCACAAATGGGCTCATTAAGGGCAGCTAATGCTTATCTCAGCAGGGGATGTAAGTTTGTCCATTCAATGATTTTTTCTCATGACTCTTCTTGGTTGATAGTAGCTGGCCTTGATAGAAGGATTTATGTAAGTTTGCAATATTCTTCATCTCTAAATGTATGTTATAGTAATTTTTTGGATTATGCATAGTGTGGATGCTTCTTTCTGAAATGAATGTGTTGGTGCAAACTTTCAAGTTCTCTTTAGAGTAGCTGTTAGTTGGTTTTAGTGTGATTTAGGTGAGGCTCACTTGGTTGCTATTAAAACATCAGGGGGCTGTCATTGATTTAAGTTGGAGTTGAGGCTAGTAGGTTTTCTCTGCTGATGTGATCTTTGAAGTAGACTTGTATGGCTGATGTTGGTCTGTTGCTGCCAAACAATGCTCCCATAGCTGGCCTTGTTAGTTTAGTTCTTGATTTTGAGTTTGACAACTTAGTTTTGGTGGCCATCAAGTTGTTTCCCTTGTTAGGTGTGTAGGGTTGCCTTGTGGTTGTTCTCTAAGAGTATTTGGAGCAGAGTTGTATAACAATAGGGATGTCACAAGGGTTATATGTTATTATGTGCCTCAGTTCTGTTTAGATTCTTGGAGGAAGTTTGTTCCTGATTGACTGTTACATGAGTTTAAGTTTGGATTGTGTTGAACTCTTGCTGCTAGCAAGTGGCGTCTTTGCTGGCATAGGCTAGTTTGGGTTTAGATTTTAGTGATTTTCTCTGTTGTTATGATGTAGTGAGGAGAGGGTTGTTTCTCCTAGAACTGTTTAAATTTAGGATAGGATCATGTCAATTGGTGTACCTTCTATACTGATGCTAGTCTACTGTCTAGGTCATTGTTGATGTGGTGATTGGTTTTGGATCCACCACATCTGCTTGTTTGGAAGCACCATTTTCTAGCCTTGTATCCTTGTTCTTGCTCCAAATACAAGGTGGAATGATTCTAGATGGCAGCCAGTTCCAAATTCCAACCGAATCAACATATCATATATGAGCAAAACGATGGATTATCAACAGCTGGACCACCCATCACAAAATTGTGTACTAGTTCTGATACACAGTGGTTGGCCGCCGTGAATTGCTTTGGGGATATATATGTATTTAACTTGGAGACACTGAGGTATTTTTCTAATTTGCTCAATTTCTTTTTAATTGAAACACCTACTACTTAAATTGCTTTGCTGCAGGTAGCTAGACCATACTTTAGGTTAAGGAAACTTGAAATTTAGAAACACTTCTAGGAAGATTGCAATAAAATGCACAGAACTTATGCTTTTCACATGCACAGTCATTTTTTTCCAGTCTGTTAATATCTAGGGAACAATCTTTCATGCTCAGAACTTATAAAATAAACATTTTTTTGTTGAACAGGTAGCACTGGTTCATTTCAAGATTGGATGGCGCCTCTGTTACAGCTGCTGGATTTCCACCTCAGAACAACAATGTACTGATAGTTATAACTTCTTCAAATCGAGTGTATGCATTTGATTTAGAGGCCAGACAATTGGGGGAATGGTCGGTGCGGAATACATTTGTTCTTCCCAAGAGATTTCACGAATTTCCGGGTGAAGTCATCGGACTTTCATTCCCTCCCTCTTCAACTTCATCTTCAGTAATGGTCTATAACTCCAGGTATATTTTTTTAATATACAGACATTTTGTATTGTTGAACTAATGTGTTATTAGGGAAACAAAAGGGTTTGAGGATATGGCAAAATCATATCTTTCTTACATAAATTTTTGAAGTGTTCTATAAGTTGTTGAATTTATGAATGTCAAGGATACTATACTAGGACGTTAAATCATCATAACTATTCTATAACTCGATGAGATGAATTTACACGAGCCAATCATAAAATAATGTTTATTGGTGATAATAGATTCTTGTTTCCTTTTGCAGGCTCGGCTTTCGGGACAAGAGAACAGAGAAGTTGCAC